GGTTTAGCAAGGCTATGCCATTCCTTAAGTACTGCTGCCCTCTAGGGGAGATACTGTGGAATGGCAATTGTCAGAGACTATCAGATGGAAAGACTTCAAGAAATCCTTTAATTCAGCAATTCTCAACCAAGGTGCTGCAGCACCCTAGGGTGCTGTGAGATTGTTTTAAGGGTGCTGCACAATATGAACACTGTTAGGTGGACAAACACCGAACACACAATTCACAAGATAAACCTAGATATATCAAGTAGGAATCCAGTGTCAAAACCATGGAGTGCTACCTGCTGTGGTCTTAGTTTGTTGCAACAGGGGAATTGCTCTGTTGTATTTCCATAGTAAAAAATGAGTGAAAGCAAAGAGCTAGCATTTGCCAAGGGGTTCCTTGAATCTAAAAAGGTTGAGAAGCTTTACTCTAATGTCTAATACATCTTCTTGTACTGAGGCAGGATCAAGCATGCATAGATTATGCCTGACAGGTGTTCCCTAACCTGTTCCCAGTGATAAAGATTCCATCATAGGAAGCCTAGGCAGCTTTTCCAGTACTTTGCAACCTTAAAGTTAAGAACATTTTCCTTGACATCTAATGTGAATCTTCTTTGCTGCAAATCAAGACAATTTCTTCTTGTTCTATCCCCAGTGGACATGGAAAACTATCATTTTTATCACAAGCTTTTACATATTGGAAGACAGTTGTCTTGCCTCATTCATAGTCTTCTCTTTTCTAAATTAAATAAACCCAGTTCCTTCAACCTTTCCTTATATATCATATTTTCTAAAGCTGCTACCACTTTTGTTACTCCCTTCTGGATTCTTTCCAGTTTGCCTACATCACTCTTAGAGTGTGAAGTGCAACACTGGACACAGTACTCTCTAGTGGAGTACCAGCACCAATCTTGAGCAGAGCAGAATCATTCCTGTCTAGGTCTCACTGCATTCCTGTTGACATGTCCCAGAATCGGTTCTGCCATTTTTGTAACAGTGTCACATGTCAGTTTTTCCATTTGTGAACCACTATACCCACCAGATTCTTTTTGACAATATTACTCCTTAGCCAGCTATTCCTTATCGTGTATGCATGTCTTCAATTTCTTCTATGTATAAGACTTTGCACTTGACTTCATTGTATTCCATCTTGTAGATTCTGGACCAGTTCTCTAATTTAACAAGATCATACTGAATTCTGATCCTACCCTTCAGAGGCTTGCAACCCCTGTCAACTTGGTGTCATCTGCAAATTTTATAAGTACCCTGTTACTGCAAATCATTAATGTTGCATAGAACAGGGGCACCACTTGAAATGACCTTAGTTTGACAGAGAATTAGTGAAATGTACAATCCTTGTGGTGATTTCATCTAAACCACATTTCCTTAGTTTGCTTATGAGTGAGACAGCATCAAAACCCTTATTAAGCTATATTGCTGCTGCTTCCTCCTTATCCACCAGGCCAGTTAGCCTGTCAAAGAAGGAAACTATATTGGTTTGACACATATTTATAACAAATCCATGTTGGCTGTTTTGTATCCCCTTGTCCTCTAGGTGCTTACAAATGATCATGTAATAATTGATTGGGACATCTTTCTGAGCATCTCATTTACTCAGTTAACTGAGGTCTGTCATCCCCCAGATCATCCATCTCTACCCCCTGAGACCTCCCCTGTCCATATTTCTCTAGAATTGCTTTGGCAAATTTTTCAAATGCTCTAGAGTGAATGTCATCAGGCTTTGCCAACCTGAATATCCCTAACTCCTCTAAAAACTCTTTAACACATTCTTTCCTTCTTCTGGCCTTTGCTACTATACACTTATTTAAATTAATTTTAGGAAATATCTAGTTACAATTAATCTGTTTTTTCAAATACTGGAGCAGAAAAGTCATTGACTATCTCCACGTTCTCTGTGTCATCTGCTATTTGTTCTCTTTCCCCATTTGCTGATAGTACTTAGCCTGTCTTTCATTTCCAGTGTACTTGCGGAAACTTTTCATGTTGCTTTTCCTGTCTAATTTGCTAATTATAACTCATTTTATGTCTTAGCCATGGATTTTTATCTCTGGATGATTGTGCATTTCCTCTACTACCATTTTAGATATGTCCATGTTTCAACTCTTTGTATTAATATTTTTGAGTTTTCAGGCCCATAAGGAGCTCCTGATGTAGCCATATTTGCCTCTTATTAGGCTTTCTGGCTTTCCTTCACAACAGGATAGTTTGCCATTGCATTCTTAATATAGTCACTTTCAGTGACTTCCGGCTCTCATGCACTCATGAGAGCATAGGAATTGCCATGCTGGGTTAGATTACAGGATCATGTAACCCAGTATCCTGTTTCTCACAGTGAGAGAGGGAGGATGCTAAGAGGAAGAGAATTTTAGCAGGGTATATCCAGAATGATCCTGCCCCCTTAAAACTTATAGCATTCAGAGACCTTGAAAGTCCCAATTTTGAGGTGCATCCTTCACTATCCTGTTTAAGCCTACTAATGGACTTATCCTGTGTGAATTTGTCCAGTCCCTTTTTGGACTTGGTTAAATTACCAGCTCAAATTATCACTTCTTTACCCTGCCAGTTATCTTCCCAAGAGGCCTTGCCTATCAGTTCCCTCTACTTGTTGAAGTCCGTTGTCCATCTTCTTCTGCTCTTTCTTTATAATAGTGAACTCTCTCATTTCATCATTCTCACATTCAGCTGTTCAAGCACTTCCTCTCTATTGCTCAAAATTAAGTCTAAAATACAGGATCTCTAATATCTTCCACCTTCTGAAACAAAATGTTGTTTCCAACGCATTCCAAGAACTTGATAGATTAAAGGGAATTAAAGTCCACTGTTACCACCAAGTCCTGTCCTTTGCATGTGTCTAGTAGCTGCTCATAAAATGCCTCCTTCGCTTCCTCTTCCTGCTTATAGGGGAGTTTATAGTAGGCCACTGATACAGCAGGCCACTTCTATACTACTGTCCCTCTTTTTCCCTTTTATCTTTACTCAGAGACATTCAGCCAGTCTACCTTTACCTGCTCCTGAACTTCAGACCAAAGATACAGTGCAACACTGTAGGGTTTGTGAAGCAGGCTGGGGTATGGGGAAGCTCCAGGGAATGCTTTCATGAGCATTGTCTCGGTGGGCTCCTCTCCCCTTTCCCCTCCCCTTCCTGCAGTGTTTCCTTCAAAGAACTGCAAAGGCTAGGGCCAGAAAAACTGCATTAGGCCCCAGCAAGTCCAAGGCAGGAGATTCCCTACCCTAAAGCAACCAGGGCTGTTGCTGTAGTCAGGGACCTGGCTGTGTGGCTGGCAGTGACTGGGCAGTGGGTCATGTCCTCCCTGCCCCAAATTCTCCAGCGAGTTAAATGGTGTGACTAAGGTTGAAGCAAGATTTGCACATAGGGCTGGGTCTCCCACTAGGGACAATGAGGTGTCCTGTTTCCTCCCTTAGCAGTAGCTGTCTAGGGTGAGGGTCAGCCAGCTGGGCAATGTGTGCTGTAACGGGTCCTGGGTAGACTCTTTCTGGTGCTAGAACACTGCAAGCATGAATGCAGGCCCATCATGGAGGGAGCTGGTCTTAGCAAGTGCTGTGGAAGCCTGCAGCCCCTGGCCCTCTCAGCACTCCTGCAGCTACCTGAGAATGGCCAGTGCAGACTGGGCCATTGAGACAAGCAGCTTCTGTAAGCACTTTGGCAGTTTTCAGGTTAATAAAAGGCTCATTTGTTTGCACAACACAAGGTTTCTTCCTCCAATTTGGTTCTTAGGAGATAAGCCCCTTCCAGGGCCACTCTTGAGATGCCCTTATCTCTGCTTCCCAGTGACCTTGTCATATCAGCAAGGAGCATTGGGCAAGACTAGAATCAGCCTTTCCCCGTCTTTGCATAGCATGCATGCTTCCTCATAACAGATGGAGCCCCACAGTTCTTGTTTTCCTGTTTGAGGGGCAGTCTGTGTTGTGAGGGGTGCTTTGTCCAGTGCAGAATTGCTTAGGGCAGGTGATTTTGGGAGTCCAGTCCAGTCCAGTCCAAGGTAGTAGGGCAAGGGATGGGGAATCTGTAAGAGGCATGGGAGTGTTGGGGACATGAGGTGTTGTGGACTGTGTGGTGTGAGGGAGCACTGTGCAGTGCTAGGGAGAAGGGAGTGCTCTATGGACTGACACAAAGTGCCTTGCCCTGGACTGGCTCTTGTCCTGATTTCCTTTTCTCTCCCCCCAGACATTAATGAGTGTGAAGAGGTGAGTGGCACTGTGCCTCTGTGTGAGGGTGGCACCTGTGAGAACACAGAGGGCTCCTATCGCTGCAGCTGCTCACCTGGCTACGTGGCACTGGCTGAGCCCCACCGCTGTGTGCCGGAGACAACCCAGAGCCCGGAGGCAGCACAGCTCTAGGGGAAGTGAGCGGGTGAGGGTGGCTCCTCAGGCACTCTGCTCTGGTACCCAGGATGTATTGAAACAGAGAAAGGCCCCTGGAACTGCAACAGCTTTGAGGCCCTTTGCTCATCCCCCTAAAGTGCACAACTTTCTTGTCACCTCTCACCAGGCAGAGCTCCAAGCCTCTGCAGCCACATCTGCCTGGCCTGCTCACCATCACAGCACCAACCTGCAGGCCCCTCTCCCCTTGTCCCTCCCTTGTACTCTGGACCCACAGATGACAAGACCCCATCTCCTACTGTCCCTCTCCCTTGAATAGGGCCCATCAGCCTCACAGACCCCACCTTCCTGAACTGCACCCACCTGAGGCACTCCTCTCACACTCTTTGTCACCATGGATGCAATGACTTAACAAGCACCAAAGGAGCCTGAAGCTGGTGAAGGGCAGCATCTTCCTCTAGTTCCCCAGTTACCATTGTACATTGCTGAGATGGTGGCAGCATCCAGCCCTTCCTCCAGAAAAGGGGTTACTAACTCTCAGCACTGTCCTGTCCCAGGCTTGTGGGAAGCTCTCCCACCCACTTTCAGGGCCCTCCTCTTTGCAAATGTTACTCTTCTCTGCCCTATTTCCTTCACCTTGCACTCAACCTCTCTGAAAGGGACAGCTAGCCCAGAGCCTGGCTCCCAAAGGCCTGAAGTCTGGGGAGGGTCTGCCCCCAGGCTTTTAGATTCTGCCTGCCCCCTGGAAATGGCTTGGAGCCCAGTGAGTTGCAGAGGCCTGGGTCTACTCTCCCCACATCCCTCCCAGGCACATAACTTTTCCTCCTGCACTTTGGCCGGTGGCCTTGTGTTGGGTTGGGGAGGGCAGTTCCAGCTTTTTAGTTTTTGTAAGGTTGTCACTGGCTTTTTCCTAATGAGTCTGCTGGGAATATCTGCCATGTTGTTAAATAAAACATTTATTTTGGACCCTGAGGCTGATACCGGGGTTGGTTGGGACTGTTTCTGCCTGACCTGACTGCACACCTCTGGGCAGTGGGGTCAGGGAGTAGGATTCTGTGTGTACATCATTGCAGCACACCCTTTCACTTCTTAGCAGTGCCTAGAGTTATGTTGTTAGCCATGTTAGGCTGAAGTCAAGTAGAAGGCAGGGTAGATTTACATTGTATAGACCAGGGGTGTCCAACCTTTTTGAATGTGAGGCCGCATCACGAACTTTTTAATCACCCACTGGGCTGGCGAGCCACAGTCAAAGACCTCACAGGAAGTGACATCACATCAGGAAGTGATGTCACGTGACCTTTGACATGCCTCCTTCTTGAACAGTCCCAATCAGCTCCTCTGTGCAGGAGCTGGAGAAATGGGCAAGCAATCAACAGAAGTTATTTCCCTTGCTAAAATCTGTTAGAGGACTGTAGCTTCTCACTGGTTTCAGCTCCAGCTAAAATTTTTCCACCACTATCACAAGAATTGGCAACTCTAAGTATCTGAACCAAAAGAGATGGTGGCATTAAAAGGTAGGAATGTACGTAATGAAAAAGACAGGATAAAATGAAAAAGAAAGGAGAAAGAACTGAAAATGCCTGAGTATGTTGTCCCTGGGCCCACCCAAGGTACTTTTCTGAAATTCAATAGGAATTAGTGTATCATTAAAAAAAAAAAAATAATAATAATCTAGGCTATTTATACATAGGGTGACCATATATCCTGGATTGGCTGAGGCAGCCTATAAAATCTGGGACTGTCTCAGTGTCCCAGCCACTGGAGAAAATTTAAGCAATAGTACCAGATTGGTGGGAATCTGGGAGCTGGGAGGTTGGGGCTGTGTGCGCGCGCGTGTATGCATGCATGTGTGCTTCCAAGCACACGTGTTGCAGCAAAGCCAAAGCAGGTATTGGGGTGTCCTGGGAAGCACACACACATAGCCCCAACCCGGCCCCCAGGTGCCCCCAGCTCCACACAGGAACTTACCTCATGCCTCCATCCACCCCGGCCCAGCCCTGCACAGGAACTTACCCTGTGCCTCCATCTGCCCCGGCCCGGCCCCAAGGCGCCCCCAGCTCCGCACAGGAACTTACCTCGTGCCTCCGTCCACCATGCATGTGGGCAGGGCGCAGACCATGCTGCAGCTCCCCCAGCCATGTGCCAGGGGCAAGGGATGAAGCCTATCCCCAGCTCATCCAATCAGGCATGGCTGGGGCAGCCCCAGTCCGCGCAGCCCTCGGGGCAGCTGCGGCAGGACCCAGCTCACAGATGAGCCAGGCCCCACGGGGGTAAGCAGTTCCCCTCCCCTTGCTGCTGGCTGGGGCCCGCAGGCTGGCCCTGCCCGCCTTGCTGCTGCCCCGCTGCCGCGGCTCTGTGCGCTGCCGCTGCGGGCCAGATAAAATGGCTTGGTGGGGCACCAGGCGGGCCCAGGGCCCATTTCCTGGTATAGACTACCCAAAAGGTGTGTGTATGTACATATGTACACACACACACACACACACACACAGAGGAATGAGGGGCGTGTCCTTTCACAGCATCTGATGAAGTGAGTTTCAGCCCACAAAAGTTTGTACTATGTATATTTATATATATAAAATATACTTTATACCCATTATTAATATATATATATATATGCAACTTTGGTTGGTCTAGATGGTGCAAATTTACCCAGCTGTCTACTGGCACAATGCTTTCCAAGCCTGTCTTTTCAGTTGGAGATGGCCCTTTCAGTATGAGGTAAATAGGCAGGTGCCACCTGGCAGGGACTTCTACAGCTGGCTGTTGTCTCTCTTCCTCCAGCTCCTGAGTAACCTCAGTTCCTGCAGTGAGGTTTCTTTCATGTACCCAAGAAGAGGGCATATTCCCAGAGACAGCCAGAATAGACCTATGCTTATGTCCGCTCTGAACTGGGCCCCACTGCAGCAGCAGCTGCTAACCCAAGGACTGGTTGCACACATGTAGGGATCAGAGAGCTCCAGTCTAAGCACTAGTGTCCATTAAGGCTAAAGCTGCTGTTAGAGCCCTCATGCTGGAAGGCATGCCCTTTCACAACACTTCTTTCCTCTCCTAGTAATGAGGAAAAAGGCAGGATCACACACAGCCTGCATCTTAAGGAATCTCCTGACACTTCCTCCCAGCTACCACCAAGGAAGGAGCCCAGGCCCAGCCAAGCAGAAGGAAGGGCCACAGAAAAAAAGTTACCTGAGCAGTGCATAAGTTCTTGCTGGCTGAAGTGTCAAGACCCAGCATCACAGAGCAGAGGTGCACCCCAGCCAGCCTAGCAATGTGGTAACTCTACAGCACAGGTAGCCCTGCTCTAGTACAGTGATGGGACCTTGCCTGCTCCTACTTCGGCATAGCCCCCCATCACACAAGGCACTATAGGCAGGTGTAGACTTTTATTCAGGTTTTATTAAAAGGAAAAAGTTAAAAAAAAGAGGTTAGGTTTGGAAAAGCCCACAGCAGCTCCATATGAATTAGTAGATAGTGCAAAGGATAGTTAATAAGAGTCATCCCTGCAGAGACACTGAATGTGGTTTGGCTTGATATCCCCCAAGAGGAAGCAGACTTTCATAGCTGCAGACTTGCTGGCCATTGTAGGGTCCAGGATGGACGCAGCAGCCAGGGAAGACAAATGGAAGTGCCAGTCCCTTCTCTGCACCCTTCTATGGCTGCAGATGGCCAAGGCAGCTTCCAGAATCTCTGTCCCAAGAGAACAGGAGAGATGCAGAGGGATGCAACAGCCAGCATTTTACCACATGAGGCACTGAAGGATTAACAGGGAGCAGCTTTGACACTCATCCCATTTCATTGCACAGAGAAATCCCTTTGAGATGAGAGCTCCATTTCAAGTACCCAGAAGCCTCTGCAAAGCACTCAGAGCTCTGCTACATGCAATGCCACAGCTGTCAGACTCTGCTGGGGTAAGAGCCTTTTGCTCATTGCTGCCCCCGAATAGCTGTAACTTAGCCCTGAGGGAACCCAGTACCAGCCACTTGGAGGCTAAAGAACCTGAAAGCAGGTGGCAGAAAGTATTTGCTATGCAAAAAGAATTTGGCCCATCTTGTCTTCTGTGTACCCACCCCCTCCCACCAGCTCCTCAGCTGGTGATCTGCACAGGAATCTTCCAACAAAAGAGCATGTCTTCTTGATCATCAAGCAATACCCACTTCACAATCAGCTTGATCTGGAAGAGATAGAGGAAGTGAGAATGCACAGGGAGAGGCTGGTCTTTTGGCATGTGGACAGTTGCAGTTCCTTAGTGTAACGGGAGGAAACCACTTGCGGGAACTTTATAACAGGAAGGGCTACAGTACTCACACTGCCCCCCAGAGCTGCTTATGTGCAAAGCTGGTGGGGACTGGGCTTCGTACTTGGAAGGGAGACCTCCAAGGCATAAAACTTGGGGGCACTCTACTCTTTAGTACTGAGCTCAGCATGGCAGTACACGGCACTCAACTTGAAGCCTCATTAAACCTTTCTCAAGAGGCATGAGCTGATGCAGCGCTGTGCCTCTCACTGGGAACAACAGGCTATGGAAGAAGGTTACCTAGCACTGCCCAGAGGGACCTGCTGATGCTAGGGCATTTGCACACTCCCTTCCCCATAGCTGGCAGCTACAGCTGTCCCACTCGGCCCTGCCTGACAGGGGGTGGAAGTAGGTCACAAGGACAATCAGGCATGGAGCAGAAGTGACTGTAGACAGATGACCTCAGCAACATACTCTGGACTCCCTCCCACTGCCCACAGGTGACACGTAGAAGGTGCATGTGCATCTGCATGTGGTGGCCCTGAGATTGGCCTCCAGAGGCATCTGTGGGCGGTTGCCACTTGCCACCCCCCTCCTCGCCACCGACACTGCCGTGGCTGCCTGCAGGTGGTCCCCGCTTAGCGTTCCTTCGCCACCAACGTCATCACCACACCCCGCCTGCAGGCAGTCGCTATGCCCCCCAGCCTCAGGAGGCATGAGGCATTCATGCCACTGCCTATGCTCTGTTCCTCCCAGAGGGTGAAAAGGTCTCATTACTAAACAAGCACATGGTGGAGTCAAGCCCTGGCTAGAATGAGTAGCTCTGTGAATCACTCACGCTGGGGTACTCGCTCTTTATAGGCAACTTGTTCAGATAGCTGTAGGAATGGCCCGTCTCAATAGGGCACTGGATTCCAGACTTGCATCCATCAGGCTCAGGGATGGGAAAGGGGATGTCCACGTGCAGCATCTCCCCGTACACCTTGGCTTTGCTGCCCTTGCTCTCAATCTCTGAGGAACACAAAGAGAGTGGGATGTATAAGAGGATGTTTCTCCCCACTCCTGCATCCCTCATGGGGCTGGCTCATGGGGATGCAGTGGAGGAAGAGTGGAAGACTAACAGCTGTCAGCTGCTCCCACCCTCCTGCCCTGGGGCAACTCAGTGTCCACCCTTCCCTGAATCTTTCCAATTACTGCAGGCAACTTCTGCCCCTATCTCCACCCACCTCCCTAGTCCCTGCAAAGACATCCCAACTCCAACAGAAGCTCAAGCCTTAGAGGAGCTGGGACCCTGTGGCCTGCTCTTACTGCTGGAGAAGGTGACGTTGATGCTGTAGGAGCCCCCTTTGTGGAGCTGGCATGGCTGTGTCGGGCAGGGAGTCACGTTTACTTCTTGGATGTTTCCATCTTTGGAGCCTGGAGGAAAGAACAAGGACACATTGTCATTCTGAGGCCTTGTTCCATACGACTAGAGAAGCAAAGAAAGGAAAGCAAACCCTAACGTACAAGTTAGCACACATCCATGGCCATTAGACCTGACTGCTATAGGTATGGGCCAACCAAACAATTACTTTGAAGCTGCTTTCAAAGGGCAGCAACTGTTGCATTCAAATTGTTAAGTATGACAGAAACAAATGTAGCAAAACCACTCCAGCTTTAGCACTGGAGACCATCAGCAACACCTCTGGTGTCCTGCAGGCCAGCAGATGATCCTTCATGTGCAATGGAGCCACTTCATTTAAGGCCTCAGTATTCAGAGTCTTCTGTGAATCCTGTTAGAATAGGCACTGCCTTATGCAACCTTAGCAAAGAACTGCACATTTGCTGGCCACTGCATTAAGAGGCAAGATGGATGGTCTAATGCTCCAGACCCCATTCACTCCCAAGGGGCATCCAGCTGCTAAACAGGACACCTAATGGCAGCAAAGCAAAGGCGACTGTGATTCTGGCAGGAAAAGCCATTTAGACATTTAGGCTCCAAGGCAAAAAACAACCTTTTACAGCCGCTACAAACTGTTGCCATGTTGTGGGGGCAGCAGCGACAAAGAGGGAGGCAGAGATAGGGATCACTTGGGTCTGGAGAACTTCCCTAGGGTGGAAGCCACCTGAAGTGCTTGCCAGGGCAAGGTCTGTTCAGGCTGCAGTAGTCAGTTTGGGGTTTACAGTGTGCTTTAAATGGTCCTTTCCAAACTGCCACAGAGAAGAGCCAAGCCCTGCTCTAGAATCCTAATAAGTGCAAAGGGAATCCCAGTAAGTGCCTCGGAGCAGCTCACAGGCTGTGTAACAGGTGAGACTCTGGAGGACATCACATATCTACTCTGGCCCTTTAACTACATGGAGAAGGGGACTGTGTCATCCATGAGGACAGTATGGACAAGGGGGAGGGAGATTAATTCGTGTTTAGGACTTAAAGTGGCTTTATCAAGAGCCCTCCAAGTCAGCTCCATGGTGCTGCAGCAGGATTCTAGTGTGCTGAGCTGTCCTGTCTCCCCCAGTACACACAACCACCCACCCACACCCTCTCTGCCCAGGGTGCCAAATTTGTTAGTTATGCCTGTTCAGCACAGATATTCAGCGAGGGGAAAGCAGAGTCTGAAGTGCCCAAAAGGAAGACTGTTTGGATGAAGTGGAGGCAAGAAAAGCACTAGTAGACCAGGGCATGGAGTAGCACATGGGCAGCGGGAAGAGAAAAAGGCACAGCTAAGATCACTAGGATCTGGCAGTGCCTCTCTTCTCCCACAGAGGTCAGGGTCTTTGCTTGGTCACAGACCTAAGAGGCTTCCTCTTATTTTACTGGTGGTCAGGGCACTCAGCCAGGACATGGGAGCCTCAGGTTCAAGTTCCTGCTCTGCCACTGCAGAGATATGCTCTCACTACCAATTTATTGGTCAGACTGGGAACTAGTAGGGAGGGGAACTTTTGGTCACAATGAAAGACCAGCATTGAAAAAAATCTCAGTTTTACCCCAATGCTACTTAACCATTTCTACTGAGGGCTCCCAACACCTAGTCTTACCCTTCCACTACATTCTCTTTCCCTTCCACTTAGCAGAGTGAGTAGGGTACAGAGTTGTTAGGTCTGGAAAGATTTACTGGGATATTTACCTATGCAGTTACCTCCCAGGTGGAGAAGGCTGGAAAAGGAAGTATTTACTGGGTAAACAAAAGCTGAAAAGTAGTACAGAGCACAGCATGCTATTACTATTGTGTTGGAAAGGCTGGGAGTATGTGAAGTATGAAGAAGGGAGGGTGGATATTGCTCTGGAGTTTCTAGGATTCGTTCCAAGAGTAAGACAGAGAACTAGTTGTTTCTCCTTTCACCAGTGCAGAATTGTATGCTATGTAATTCATAACATTAACTACAGGTTTGTTACATCTTATACATGTAAAGCAAGAGCATGTCCTACTGGGACAGGTTTGTCAATATTCAGCCTAAATATACCCTTGGTGAATTTTATTCCATTATTTCTACAGCACAGTCCTAATTGCTCAGTTGCATGCCTATCAAACCCATCTTGCAGGTGCTGGATAGAGTCACAGCACAGCACTTTGTACCTCAGATGTACAATAGCTCAAGGGACCAAGCTTACTGAGTGCAGCCCATTCACCAGCAGCTGTGTGCGTACCTGTGGGGTTTTTATGCTCCCACCCTTAGGGCAGAGACAGCTGCAAGACTGCATCCACAAGGAATCCCAAACGCACCAGGACCTGGAGTCAGTTGCTGTTTCTGGCTCCAACCTAAGGGTATGTCCAAGGCACGGTCAAAATGCAGGAGTTACCAGACAGCTCACTTGAGCCCCACTGCAGATGGCCACAAAACTCAGCATGTATTTATCCAGGGTCTCACGTGGATTCGCAGCCCGTACCAGCTACACTGTGAGCAAGGCTGGAGGTGCCCACTTCAAAGATAGCATAGGTATGGCTACTCTAGCTGTTATGCCTTTGACTGCAGCACAGACACCTTAGGGCAGGGGTGGACAAAATGTGGCCCGGGGGTCAGATGCGGCCCGCCAGGCCATTCTATCTGGCCCACGGGGCCCCTAAAAAAAATTAGAAAATTAATATTTATCTGACCCTGGCTGCTTATCATGCCAAAACTCAGTAAGCGGCCCTGTGCCCGAAATAATTGCCCACCCCTGCCCTAGGGATTAAGGCCAAGCTTCAAAGAAGGACAACTGATGAAAGATTAACATTAAAATCAGCTAACTGGGGTTTCATTTCAGAAGCTTTGTTACTAAACATGTATTTGTTCAAGAGACAAACATGGATTCTGAAGAGGCCTTGAAAATATCTAATTAACCCCAGCAAGCCCCAAGAAGAGATTGTAAAATCCAATTGCTTTCCAACTCCTTATCTTGCCTACAGAGCAGAGGTACAGACCAGCAACAAATCAGACTGGAAGAAGGGCAAGTCCCCATTGCCTCATCCAGGTTTCTTTTGTCTTTATTTCATAAGCAGCGAGTCAGATGTGACCTCCCTTCAGAAGGCAGGGACTGATCCCAGATCCATACAAAACCCAAGAGATAATATTGAAACTTGCTGGCTGATAAGCCTATCTGTCCTTGTCCACTAAGATCCTCTTCTCTCCTCCCAGTCTCCCCCAGACCTCAGAGTAGCTAGTCACAGGTTTTCAGATTTCCATCTCGGATCCTGTGGGGTCTGATTCTGAGAGCAAGTTCAATGCCTAAAGAGACCTTTTGAAAATCCCAACAGATGCTGAAAGCACCTTTCAAAACCTCCCGGCTGCCTGCAAGGGGATACTTCTGCCCTGCCTGGCATCCTTGCAAGTGACCTCTGCTAAGGTCACGCAAGTTGCCTCTCAGGTCATGCAAGCAGCCGGCCAAGCCGGGGCCTGCCTCGCTCGGAAGGCTGCTCCTCTGCCATACAGCCGCGCCCCGGGCAGCGGAAGCCTGGCGGCCCGCGGCATCACGCCCAACTAGAAGCTGCACAAACAGACCGGGCCTTGCCTGGAAAAGGCTGCAGGTCTCGGGGAGGGCCCGGCCTTCACCAGCCCCGCGGGGTTTCCCCTCCCCGTACCCCCCTGCTCCAGCGCCCGGGGCCCGAGTCCCCGTACCCCCTGCTCCAGTGCCCGGGGCCTCCCGCAGCTGCCCCAGCGCCGGCCTCCGAGGCAGGAGCCAGGGGCCCGGTGCCGGCCCGGCCGCTTCGGTGGCTAGATCTACCCCCGGGCCCGCGGCCGGACACTCACCGCAGTCCAGGAAGCGCAGCGGCTCGGCCCGGGCGCCGGCAGTGAGCACCACGAGCAGGGCGAGGGCTTGGGCGAAGGCCAGCATGGCTGGGCTCGGCTCGGCTGGGGCTCTGGGACGGCGGCGAGGCCCGGCCCGAGGGCAGGGGCAGCCTGCTCCTCGCCCCGCCGGGACAGGAGGCGCGGGCCCAGCTCCAGCCCGTCCTTCAAACCACCTGCCTGGCAGGGCCGGAGGGCAGCCTTTCTAAGCAGGCAGCGCCCAGGGAGCACTCGGCTTGGTGGCTCACTGCAGTCCACCTGGTCGCAGAATCCTAGACAGGCGGGTCAGAAGGACCTCAGTCTACCCAGGCCACTGCTCCAAGCAGGATCATCCCCAACTACAGCATCCCAGCCAGGGCTTTGTCTAGCTGGGTCTTAAAAATCCCTAAGGATGGAGATTTCCCCCCTTGCTGGGTAACTTGTGCCTATGCTTTACTGTCCTCCCAGCAAGAAAGTTTCTCCTAATTTCTAACCTAAACTCCCCTTGCCACAATTTGAGACCATTACATGTTGTTCTGTCATCTGTCACCACTGGGAACAGTCTGGCTCCATCCTCTTTGTAACCCCCCTTAAGGTAGTTGAAGGTTGCTGTTAAATCCCTCCTCAGTCTTTTCTTTTCCAGGCTAAATAAGCCCAGTTCCCTCAACCTCTCCGCAGAAGTCCTGTTCCCCAGGTCTCTAACCATTTCTGTTGCCCTTGACAATCCCTTTTAATCTCTTAATTCTGCAGGTGTTAAAGCCACTCTCTTCTTTTTAACAGCCTTGATGTTCCACCAGTCAAATTGCCTTTGTTCTGCAAGGCTGTGCGCGGTCTGTTCCCTGCTCCTGGTAATGGAGCTCTGATTTCACAGCCCAGAATATTGTTTTGAACTCATTCAAGTGAAGTTATATTTGCTTCTGCTTCAGTCTTAAATTGTATAATCCAGCCCTAGGCTCCTGGTGCATTAAATCTATGTTGTTTTGTGTGTGATGCTGTACCTCACCACCTGCACCCCCTTTGCAAAATCCTAGATCCACCCATGAGTACACTTGCACCTGCAGCTTGGGGGATGGAGATGGGTGTATGTTACTCATACTCACTGCCACAAGCCTAGAGCAGAGAGGAAATTAATACCATGCTTTTATCTGGGTCACATCACAGATGAGGCTGCACATAGCTTGGCAGCTATACCTCCC